CCTAATTCATAAAAATATGGTCAATGATAACTTTAAATACAACGGGTAAATATGGTCAATGATATCATAAATTATATTTTATATTCGATAAGTTCAACTTAATTGATGATTTTGTTTGTTAATATTTGCTTAACTACAAAATATTTTAAAGTTTATAAAGAATCTCATTTTATGTAGGTTCTTGGTACTTTTTTATTTGTACATATTCATTTTTCATCCCATATCCAAATACAAATTTAAATGCGGATCTTACATGTTTATTAGAAATATATGTATATTTTTTCAAAAAGTATGACGATCATATAATTAATTTTATCATATATCATATGTTGGATGTTATTAGTTTGGTTGGGACACTCATTATATTCAAATAAATAATATATAATTTTTCATATTTAGTATTTCTTTTTTTACTATGTATAATATAAAGTCTTAGAAAAGGTTTTAAGTAAAAACCTCTCCGTGCAGCGCACGGGATACACACTAGTGTATTTGATATGAGAAACAATTAGAAGCGTGTCTAATGATGACCGATCATTAATTATGTAAAAGAAAAAAGTAAAATCACAAAAGCAAGTGTAAATGAAAAGGTCAATAACTCTAATGAGTTACAGACTTACAGCAATATAATCTTAACAATCACTGTGCAAATTAGGTTGAATTACACTGTCATTAGTTGAATGCATCAATGCAATATATTGACCCATAGGAATCATATTTTACCCCAGTAAATGGAAAACAAAAAATATATAAAAATGCAGTTTCAACTTTCAAGCACTTTATTTTATGAAGTTTTAGACTATTTCTTTTGGAAAAAAAAATAAATAAAATAAAATAAAATAAAAACTTGGGTCCCTATTTTAATAATTAGGAGCTTTCTTTAAAAATCCACAATCCTAATTCCATATTCCAAGTCAGTCCCTAGTAATAATTTATATCTATTTTACTCTCTACCTCTATATTCATCTTCCATTTAAATTCTTCCTATTAAAATAAATGACAAAGAAATTGATTCGTGACATCATCCCACTAACATTTATCTCATCTTATTATTTTATTGTTTCTCTCTCTCTACTACTAATTTTCTTATTTTTCTATTATTTTTCTTTCTATCTCTTTCCACATATTTTTTTTTCTCATCTTCTACTATTCATCTCTTTTACTACTTTTTTTTTTTTATAATTTCTTATTATTTTTCTTTCTTTTCCCTTCCACACAAGATATAGGTACTAAATTACAATAATATTGGTATTGACCTACTACATTACATGTATCATTTTTCTAAACAAATATTTACAGTATATATTCATTTTCGTTCATATAAGTCGGTATTAAATGACAATATATATGTCCTGATTTACGACAACACTGGTACTGTCTTATTCCAGTATATGTATCAGTTTTATAACTCATTAAAACAAACTATTATGAATTTAGTGTGATGCACGGATAATAGATATTCATTAATATATATAAATAAAAAATTTCACTAAATAATATTTATAAATTAAAAAATATGAAATCACTATGTAATAATCCCCCTATATTAATTTATTTAAAATGTTATATGAAATTTAAATTGTGCAAAATTATATAAAATATGTCTATTTAAAATTAGTCCACAACTCGTATGATGTACATAACTGATAATAAGTTACATTATTTCATTTTAAAATAAGTTACATTATTTCGTTTAACCGGACCGTGAGGGCCGCGGTTCGGTCCCGGACTGCTCCATTTTTTTTTTGTCCCGGCGGTCCGGGCCGGGCTGGGACCGGGTCACGGGCTGGAGGCCGGGATCAAGTGTTTTTTTTATTTATTTTTTTATTTTTTTCCCTGCTGGCGGTCGAACCGGCCCTAAGCAATTGGCGGTTCGGTCTCGGGCCAGGATGTTGAGGACGGGCGGCCCGCCGGGCCGGGCCCGGACCCGTTGAATGACCATGTCTAAATAAAGTGTTCCAAAATTAAGGAGAAGGTTCCTCCTTCTAAAAGGTGATACACAGCAGCTCATTGCATCAATACACTGTGTTCTTAGAGCACCCACAATGCTTTGGGTCTCTTTTTGTATATGTGGCATATAATTGGACTTGAATCTTAAATGACGTGGACAAACCCAAGTAAAAAACTTCAATAACTTTGCAATGCAAAAATAAAAATACTGGGTCTAGCATATATGTCAACCAATAAAAATGATCTAATATGTTTTTTTTTATTAAAAGAAAAATTAAAGTAGGAATAAATAATTAGTGTTTGGGTTTGTACTTGGGTCCAAAATAGACCCAAGTGTGGACTTAGTCTCTTTTTTTTATTGACCATGTCCACTTTTAATTGCATTGGGAAGCATTTTTTTATAGACTAGGTCTATTTCTTACATGGCATGTGATTTTTTGTCAAGAGACTCAAAGCATTGTGGATGCTCTTAAGCACTTACAATTAGAATTATGTAGAGTTGCGGCCACTTCTATGTTTTGCTCTCATGTGTCATGGCTCGAGCAAATGTTTTACAATATTTTTTTTTTTCTTGTGGAATTTCAAAAGTCATTTTTTGTCCATCGTTTAGGAAAAAAAAAAAGTCATTTTTTGGGACATATCAATTACAAGCTATTTATCTGATAAATCCAACGGACTTTTTGATTTTGTCATATGATTTTTTAATCCACGCACTACAAGAAAACGATGAAATTCCAACGGAAATATATTATAATAAAATTCCAACGGCAATTCCAATGGATATTTCAATACTATTATTTCCGTTGGAATTATTCCAACATAAATTCCAACAAAAATATTTCAAAATATTCCGTTGGAATGAATTTTTCATTGGAATTTCCGTTGGAATTTGACGATTCCAACGGTAGATTTTCCATCAGTGGTGGAAATAAAAATTTCAACGGAAATTGCATATTCCAACGGAAATTCGATTAAAAGCCGTTGGAAATATAACCGTTGGAATCATCAAATTCCATCTAAAATTCCAATGAACAATACATTCCGACGGAAGCTATACTATTAGAATATCCGTTGGAATTCCCATTGAAATATATTACCATAAGATTTTCTGTTGGAATATAATATTTTTTTTTATAGTGACGGCAATCGTCGTTAAACAACTCGAAAGTCTCAAATTTTATGCGTTGTTTGTACTGTCTGATTTTTTCAAATCTTACATTTCTACAAATATTATTTCACAATATTTCAAATGGTAGCTTCACCTAAACAATGGACATTTGGATCACTGAAAATCTGACGTTGAAGTTATAATTTATCACGTAGATCGAATATGCCTTCGTTGAATCCGAATACCCATTATACAAAATTCGGCAAGGGACATTTTATTACATTTATCTTCCCTCTGTTTACAAAACCCCTCAATATATTTTAAATTTTATGTTTGCAACTGACACAAATTTTAGTTTCAAAATTTATGCTGCTATTATTTTTTTCTTTTTTTTTTTTAAACAATTGACAAAAAATTAAAATTTACATACCAAATTACAATGTGGTAATGGCCCTTTATAGCACTTTACCAAAACAGAAAATGAAATATGGCCATATTTTTAAGAACAATGAAATATAGCCATTTGGGCTTGTGAAAATACACTTGTACCCTCAATCTCAATTTTTCCTTTCTCCTCTACTTTTCCAAAAAAGCAGCCCGTTTCCCCCTCCTGTAATCTCAAAATTTTCAGAATTTTTCCTTCCTCCTCTACTTCTCTGCCCAATTTTTTCTCGCTTTAATGAGCCCGTTTCTCGCTTTCTTCCTTCTCCAAATTTTGGTAGTGCTTCTTGCTAACGATTCACGCCAATTTTCGCCGCCGCCGTCGTCGATGCCCGTCACGATTCACGTCGCCGTCGAAATTGACCTCCTCCGGCAAGTCGACTGCTCGAGCTCCTCCGGCGAATCGAACTTCTCGAAGCCGGCACTACCAAAACGGACCCTCAAGGTACGGTTCTGTAAGGTTTGATTAGGGTTTTTTTTGCCAAACCATAGTGTGAAGGAAAACTGTATTTCTATTATTTTTTTTATTATTATTTTAAATTATATCTAGCAAAGATTGAGTAATCAACTGGGGTTGGGAAAGAGAGAAGAAGAAAAGAAAAAAAAAAGAGAGAAAAATAGAAAAAAGAAAAGAAATCCTAGTTTAGAAAAACTATTAATATATATCTTAATTGCTGAAATATTATGGTATTGTTCTAGCACCTTAGGTCCTTATTATTCCTAATTGGTTTCATTATAAATTTTAATGACTTATTGCAATCAAAAGAAGCATGTTGCAAGACCTTACAGTGTGTTCTGCTATAGTGGTTTAAGCGGCATGTGATTTTCTTGTTGTTTTGGGGGAAAAAATAGGAGGCATTGTGCTAGTTTCTGTACTTTAGATATTCGACTCTTTTTGCTGTTTGTTGTAACTTAGAATAAGTTTCATTCTAGGAGAAAAGGAGAAGACAAGAAGAACCCTATCTTGATCACTTGATGTAACGTGAAAGAAAGATAATCGAGGTTCGTTTTTTCGTTAACCCTTGTAAGCTGTGGAATTTCCTTCTTTATGCCAAAAAATTCTTGGATTTTCCTGTTTATATACAATTACTTTCTTGAATGCCATTTTCACTTGCTGTGTTCCAAGTGGTGTGTTTTTGTAGTGTTTTTTTGTTCCCTTTTGTAATGTGGCATTGCCTTTCTTTATACTATATTCTTGATTTGTCTTGTGTAGCTATTGCTTTCTTGAATTTAACTCACATTTAACGGGGTTTAAGGGCTGTTTTTGATGAGTGGATTCTCCTCAAGTAGGCATGGAGTAAGTGAATTCCATATCTATAAAGTTTGAGTTTGAGAGTCTATGATTGATTTGGTTTAGGATTTAGACTGAAAGAAAGAAAGAAAAACACACACACACATACATTTATTTATAAAGTAAGGCTACTATTTGCTAGGTCCATAGACTTGCATATTTATTCAGAAGATTATTATGGACAGGTTTGAGTTTGATGACCACCGTAAGCTTAGTTGATGTGTCTCATTTGTTTTCAACTCTCATGGGTTATCATCCCTCATTTTTCTTCAACTTCTCGACAGGTCTTTCTGAATATTTTCTTTTTTCAATGTGATTAGATGAGGTTGAAATGCATATGGAGGGCCTCGAGAAGCTGGTTCCGGATTGGTTTTGTAAGAAATTGGCACGTAATGGTGACCTTTTGTACAGGTAAGTTTCTTTGTTAAGGGTGTTTTCTTTCAGAAGGCAGTTCTCAGTAGATTATCCCTGTATGTTTCTTGTTGCTCACTTAATTTTTATCAACGTCTAAGTAATATATATAGTTAGCTTAGCTAAGATTAGACGCTTTTTTTTTTTTTTTTCAGCATGAAGAAAGTTTCGGATCTGAAGTCCATTCGTGAAAGAGTTAATGTCATGTAATCAGAGGTCAGTGTCATTGTTTTTTCGATTATTTCCAATTAAGTGCATCAATGGCTTCCTTTTATTCTGATGTCATATATGTACCTTCTTTACAGGGGCATATTCATCCAACCGCAGTCCTAATAGAAGTTGAATAGAAAGGGTCTCAATCTTAGTATCTTGTTTTGTATTAGAAATTGAAGACT